GGGGTGATGAAAATGTTTTATATCTTAATCTAGATATATACATATATATATATAATTCATTGCACTATACACCCAAGATTTATATCTGCTAATCCCAAACTCCCAATTTATCCTCCTCTCTTTCTCCTTTGGTAACCATAAGTTTGTTTTCTGTGTCTCTGAGTCTGTTTCTGTTTTGTAAATAAATTCATTTGTATCATATTTTAGATTTCACATATAAGCAATATCATATGGTATATATCTTTCTGGCTTACTTCCACCTAGTATGATAATCTCTAGATCCACCCATGTTGCTGCAAATGGCATCATTTCATTCTTCTTTTATGGCTGAGTAGTATTCCATTATATATATACCACATCTTCTTTTACCCATTCATCTGTCAATGGACATTTGGGCTGCTTCCCTATCTTGGCTATTGTAAATAGTGCTGCTATGAACATTGGCGTACATGTATCTTTTCAAATTAGAGTTTTCTCTAGATATATGCTGAGGAGTTGGATTGCTGGATCATATGGCAATACTATTTTTAGATTTTAAGACACCTCCATACTGTTTTCCATAGTGGCTGCACCAGCAGTGTAAGAGGGTTCCCTTTCTCTATACCCTCTCTGGCATTTGTTATTTGTAGACTTTTTAATAATGGCCATTCTGACCAGTGTGAGATGATAACCTACTTGTAGTTCTGTTTTGCATTTCTCTAAGAATTAGTGATATTGAGCATCTTTTCATGTGTCTATATGTCTTCTTTGGAGAAATGTCTATTAAGGTCTTCTGTTCATTTTTTGATTGGTTTGCTTGGTTTTTTTTCCTTATTGAGTTGTACAAGCTGTTTGCATATTTTGGAAATTAATCCCTTGTCAGTCACATCGTTTGCAAATATGTTCTCCCAGTCCATAGACTGTCTTTTCATTTCGTTCATGGTTTCCTTTGCTATGCAAAAACTTGTAAGTTTGATTAGGTTGTAAGTTTAGTTTTGCTTTTTTTTCTGTTGCCCTGGTAAACTGACCTAGGAAAACAGTGCTATGACTTATGTCAAATAATGTTTTAGCACTTTATTTTTCACTATAAACATAATAATATAAATTTTCCTCCAAACTCATCTGGAGGAAATGTAATATTTCATTATCATAAAGATTCTTAGAATTTTCTAATTTCTGTTGTTTTTATTTGACTCATAGTTTATTTTGAATTTTTTAAAATATTCTCCAGTGTTAGGGCTCTTCTAGTTATCTTTTTAAAATTTGCTTCTAACTTAATTGTTTATGGCAAGAGAAAATGTATGAAATATAAATTCTGAAATTCATTGACTATTATCTAAGTATATGGTCAATTTTTGCATATGTTTCCTGTGAGCTGGAGAAAAATGGGTATTCACTTATTGTGGAGTGAGAAAGCTATAAATTGATTCACCTTTTCAGGACTTCTAAACTCTAAAACTATAATTCAATAAATTTCTGTTGCTTTAAGTCGCTACAGCAGCAATAGGAAACTAATACAGATATTGGGGCCTGGAAGTGGAAGTGGCTTTGGAATTAGGCAAAGAAAAGCGGTTGGAAAAATTCTGAGAAGCGTGATACAAAAAGCCAAGATTGCCTTGAACAGACCGTTAGTAGATACCTGGATGTTAATAACTCTACTGCAGTTTCAGAAGGAAGTGGGAAGCATGGTAGGAGAGACTTATATTGTCTTAGATAATATTTAATTCATCATAAACAGGCTTGTCAGTAGAAAACAAATGGATGTTAAAGGTCCTGCAGGTGAGGGTTCAGATGAATTTGAGAAATGTTACTGGAAAGTAGAGGAAATTGAATCCTTGTTATATAACGGCACAAACTTAGCTGAATGGTGTCCTTCACAATTTAGTTATGTGGAAAGCAGACTTGTAAGCAATGAACTTGGACATTTAGCTGAAGATATTTCCAAGCAAAATGTTGAAGGTGTGAACTGGTTTGTTCTTGCTATTTATAGTAAAACGCAAGAGGACACAGATAAATTTAGGGAAGAACTGTTAAGCATAAAAAAAAAATGAGGACTTGATGATTTGGGAAATTCTCAGCCTGTCCAGATTGCAAAAGATGCTAAAAATAGGAGAATCGCTGTCAGAAAATCGTGCTAGAGAGAGAGCCAGAAGTGTGGTTGGACAACCTTTTACTATTGCCTTGGAAGGATAAAAAGTCAGAGTATTCAATCACACAGACAGCTCTTTGAAGAGATTAAGCTTGTGATTCATGGATCCCCTCAGCCATCTCAGCAGAAGCCAGGAATAGAAATAGGATTTTTCTAGGAAAAATCTGTGGAGGAATCTCTTGTCTAATAAAGTGACATGTCAGACAGGGGACCCAGAAGGTCCTTGAGAATTTTATACCAGCAGAAACACTGCCAGCTTGGAATAAAAGGGACAGAGAGGGGATAAAATGAAAGAAGTCATCTGAACTCTCAAAATGCTTCAGGCAGAAAACAGGCTGACAACACTACTCAGCTGCAAACATACGCTACCTTTCAAGAAACAGGAAGAATGTTCAAGTAAAACGGTGAAACAGCAGACCCAGAAGACGGAGCTTCAATCCAGAGAGCTATTCCCAGGCCTTGAAACCTAACGTTGCTTTTCTGTCTGGATCTCTGAATTTCTTGGAACCAGTGGCTACTTTTATCTTTCATTTTCGCCCTGTTTGAATGGGACTGTCTATATATGTTCTCTTACGCCTGTCTCACCATTGTGCTTTGGAAGCAGATAACTTGTTTTCTAGTTTCACAGGTCCACAGATGAAAAGCTATTTTGTCCCAGAAAGGATTATATCCAGAGTTCCAACCATACCTAATTTTAAGATGATTTAAATGATGAAATTGGTGACTTTCAGGCTCATGAAGCTTAGATAATATTTTGGACTCGAGTTGATGCTGTAATGAGTTGAGACTGGGAGCTTGGGAAGGAGGGAATGCATTTTACATGTGGGATAGATATTTTGGAGGGGGACAGCAAATGGACAATGTTAGTCTGAATAATGCCGCCCCTTTAATACATACATCTTAATCCCTATGTTATCTTACATGGCAAAAGAGACTATACAAATGTGATTAAGTTAAAAATCCTGAGATGGGGATATCATCTTGAGTTATCAAGATGAACCAAATGTAAGTACAAGGTTACTTATAAGAGAGAGACAAGAGGATCAGTATGAGAGAGAGAGATGTGATGACAAAAGCAGAGGTTGAAGAGACTCAAAGAAAGGGCCATGAGCCAAGGGATGCAGGCATCCTCTAGATTCTCATTAAGATAATGAAGTAGACTCCCCTAGAGATAAATTTTATTGTCTGTATGTTATTTTAAAGATAGTAAAACTGCACTGTTTTAAGCCCTTAATTTTTTTGGTAATTCGGCAGCAATAGGAAACTAATATATGAGTCAATTAACATTTATCAGTTTATATATTTATGTAGGTAGTAGGTATTTATGCAACAGACATTTAGTGAGCATCTACTATATCTCAAGCTGGAAAAATTTTACTATCATTTTTAAAAGTAAGCGTGTATGTGTGTGTGTTTGTGTGTGTGTGTGTTTAACTGAAATAACTTGAAGAGAAGGAAATTTCAATTTGTCGAAGGATAATCCAAATTAAAGTATTCAAATACAATTATATAATTTTTAAGTATGTAGAATTTATGGTAACTGGGATACTATGGTAAAAATAATATTCCTATTGCAACAACTTAAATTTTTTTTCTAATTAATATGGTTAATATTGAAATATTTATTTAAAATTTTTTCCCTTAAACAAACATCATTTTTTTCCTGTTTGGTAAGCAATATATTCCTTCTTCACCCCTGCCAGAATGTAAACATATAATAAATAGCAGTCCATTCTTTACAGGTCCGAATAGAGCTAACTTCTTTTGTAGTATGTTTGTGTGATAGACTGAATATTTGTGTCCCCCAGGTTTATATGTTAAATCCTAACCCTCAGTATCATAAAATTTAGAGGCAGGCCTTTGAGAGGCAACTAGGTTATGAGGATGAAGCCCTCCCGAATAGGGTTAGGGCCCTCATAAAAGAGTCCTCGGAGAGCTGCCTTGCCCCTACCATTGTGGGAAGCCACAGAGAAAAGGCAGCTGGAAACCCTCACTAGGTACTAAATCTGCTGGCACCCTGTTCTTGAACTTCCCAGCCTCCAAACTATGAGAAATAAGTTTCTGTTGTTTATAAGTCACTCAGTCTATGGTATTATGTTATAGAAGCCTGACTAGACTAAAGCAGTCTCAATTAGTTTTTTAAAATAATTTTTCCATGTCTATTGATTTGTAAAATACATACTCTGGCTCCCTCATTGATTCTGCTCCAGTAATTTCCAGTGGAGCCTGGTCGTTCTAAGCATCAATTTAAATCTTACCAACTAACAGAAATTGTAAACAAAGTCCAAATTAATAATTTATTAATTATCTTGCACATTTATTTTCTTCCTTGGAAGCTTCTTCAGTATTTAATTAACGCTTCCATTTGAAATAGCAAAAACTAATTTATGGTAATATTACAAGCAGCCAATATGCTAAAGATAAAACAGATGAGGGAAAATAACCACATTTTTGTATTGCATACATAAGAAACAAAATATAATAATTAAAATTATTCTATGTAAGTTTACTTATTGTACTTTTATATTTCACATCCATCCTTTAAACACATTGGTATTTATCAACAGATATTAATAGTAATTTTACTATGAGATTTAATCATGCATTTCATAGATAAGGCTTTTTCAATAACAAATTATGTTCACTTTTATGCAAATTACATGATCTGAAATTTTTAGGAAAAGTGATAAACTTTTTAAATTAAAAGTTCAGTTCTTGTAAAGTGATGATTTAATAAGTGTGGAAGACAATGTGGGCTTTATGTAATTATAGTGATGGATTGGTCATAGGCTAAATGGTTGGGTTTTGTCCTTAAGATGATGATAAACTTCCAATGAAGTATTGTTGTTGGTTAGAGAATCACCTACAATAATTACAGATATAAATTTAATATGAGAGATGGTAGTGGGGATTAGATAATGAGATAATTAGGGATAATAATAAAACTTTTTTGCTATGAGGAGATCATTCTGTTGCTGCAAAGTTATTTTGTTTCATTTGGTTTTTTAAGTGGTGCCAGAAACAGTTATGGTAGTCAATTAGTTGTGGTGATTTTAGCCTCAGCTGAAAAATATCGCATCATTTGATCCCACAATAATCACAGCTACTCCCACCACTTCAGACAAATCTACAGCATCGTTTCTTGTGGTAGCTATCGGTTCAGCTGTTGCATTGGTTTTGTGATGGCTGTAGGTTTAGTGGAAGTAATGGTGGTCATAGCTTCAGGTGAAATTATTATAGTGTCTTTGTGGTAGTAAATTGCATAGAACATATGGTGCTTTTAGATTAAGCTAAAATAGTAACGGTGGCCAAATGTGGTTGTTGGTTCATTAAAAGCGATGGTAGCCATGGTAGTTGTAGCTTCTGTTACCTGGATGTTAGTTATTGTCACCTGAATTAACTAGGGTTAGTGGAAATGTGGGGCAGAGTGAATGTGTGATATTGAGGTGGCTGTCTTGTGAGAGAGATGAGTTTCATTGAATAAGCAGCAGTGGCTGATGTGGTTGCAAATTCAAAGTTATACAAATTATAGGTTTACTTCAAGTACTGGCTGGAGAGAGCTGAGATAAAGTGGGGGTGGCAGTCCTGGTAGTAGGATAGCAGTGCTTGTAAAGTCATCCGAACTACTGGTTCCCCTTGAGGATGTAGCTTCAGTTTAAGTGCTTGAAGCCACAGGGTTAGAGAGTCATCTGAAGTGTTATAAATTCTGTTGAAGTGCCACTGTTATTTTAATAGCAGCCGCTGAAAAAATTCTGAGCGTTTATGAATGAAGTTTTAGTTCTTGCTTTCGTATCTGTACATTTAGTGGTATTTGGAAATTCAGTTTAATCGGGAGTGGCTTTTTTGGTTGTAGGCTCAATGCAATTGGTGGGAGGTTCAGGTTCAGTTCAAGGATAGCTGGTACCGTGGTGGAGGGTTGAGTAGAAGTGGAAGTTTGAGGCTCGGCTGAAGTGGTCATTCTATCTCCAAGTATAGTAGGTTCAGTAGAAACTGTAGTGCTTTCGGCTTCGGTGAGTGGGGTGGTATCGACTGCATTTGTTATAATTTCAGCTGAAGAGGTTGTTACATTTGTCATAGTAGAAGGTTCAGTAGAAATTGTTGCATTTTCAGGTTCAGTAGAAGTGATCGCTTCTGTTGTGCTCGTAAGTTCGGTTGAAGGATCTGTAGTCAAATGGGTTCCAGGATCAATTGAAGAGGTAACAGTTACAGATATATTAGAAGTCAGGATGGCTGTTGTGGCAGGTTCAATTGTGGGCACAGGAGCTGTCTGTTCTGTTGAAGTGGTTCTTGTTGTAAGGTCTGCTGGAGTCGTGCTAGGTGTAATTTCTGTTGACAAGGTTATAACCGTTGTGGTGGCGTTACCCTCAGCTGAAGTGGTCGATTCAGTCAGAGTCGTGGCAGCATCCATCAGAGTGGGTGGTTCAGCTGAAATGCCGGTGGTTGTTTGCATTATGATGGTGACTTCAGGTGAAGTGGAGGTTGTGGTGGTTGTGCTGGCAGGTTCAGGGGACATGGTGGTAGTGGGCTGCTTTATGGTAATAGGTTCAGCTGAAGTAGTGGAGCTGCCTGCTGTGGTGCTTGTAGGAACCTTGGCTGTGATTATAGTAGTTGTGCTGGTGACTGCAGGTTGAAAAGTAGGCAGTGAGGTTGTTCCAGGGGTGTTTATTATATGTCCCCCATCATCCAGAGGTACATGGATAATAATGGGGGTGGTGTTACTTCCCCCTTTACTGGCCAGGCACACACACTATGAGTACTCCAACCGCTGTTGTTATTACACAGGCTAAGAGACAAAAAAGGAAAATTCTCCACAGAGACCAGTCACTGGATATATTTTGTGTCACCTAAAAAGGATTTAAATAAAAATAGTAAGACTGAAACCAAACATTCCAAAAAAATAAAGATCATTGTCACTTCTTTGTAATCTGTATTTGTATTTTTGCAATTTGTCACTTATTTGTAATTTTTTTCATCAGAGAAATGTATAGATGTCATTCTTACTCATTATCTTTTCATAAAAAATATTAAGTTAAATTTCTACATTTTCATCCTGGGAAAGGATTGGTTCTGTGCTTTCCTTATCACAGGAGGAAAGAAGCATGTACACAGTTATCAACCAAAATCCCCAAATAAAGATGAGTATGCAGGTAGGTTGCTGACTGCACAGTATAAATAAGGACCCCTCAAATTCTCCTGGTTAGAATTCCCTCCTTTCTGTTAATACCCAAAATTCTTCCCAATAATCAGGCTTCCTAGAAACCTTCCATCAACGTGCATTTTAATTATTGCTTCTATAATCTTCAGCTCAGACACTATTTGTCAGCATGAAATTTTTCAGGCAGACCAACTTCTGTAAGCTACCGCTATTTTCACTTGGAAAATTGCTTATCCTCTGTGAGCTCAAGTCCTCGTCTGTAGAACGCAAGTAATAGCAACACATGACTTAGAGTACCGGCATAAAGATTAATGGAGGTGAAGCTGCTCTGTAAACTATACAGTGCTGTACAAGTGAGAGGCTGAGAACGTGGTGGTTGGATGGCACAGGGTCTGGAGCCAGAAACAACTTTGGTTTCAATCTGGTTCTGCCACTTACAGTGTGTGGCCGAGGATAAGCTACCTGCAACTCTGTTCCTCAGAGTCTTCATAAATAAAATAGGAATAATAATGGAACCTGTCTCATGGGGTGGTTGTGGGGCTTAAATGAGATAGTACAGGTAAAGTGCTTTATCACTTCTGGCGCTTAGTAAATGCTGTAAGATGCCTGTGATCGTGCCGACACTGATGATTATAATGGTGCTGCAACGAAACATTTTTGTTGCTGTTTAGTGGACAGGCAAGATGATAGTGGAGAAAGAACAGGCTTTTCTACCGAGCATTCTTGGGTGTAAGCCTCAAAATTTTGAGATCTAGTATAAGATTCTTAATTTGCCTAACATTAGTCCTATCTCTGCCAATTAGTAGTTGTATAAATTTTAGCAAGAGTTTCAACCTTCCTGAAGAATATTTTTTCAGTCAATAAATGAAGAGACTGGATGGGATTAAAATGGAATCTAAAATCACTCCCAGCTCTCAAGCTGAAATGCTTTATTTTACCTTTGCAAACAAGGAGAAAATCCTCTTACTGCTTCTCTTTAAGATCACCCCCTCCTTACACGTTGTCTCAGCTCTGCCAAAGTTGACACTTCACTATTTTGTTTTAAGGACCAGGGCTCAGATCCTCCAAAAGAGTACCTTCCCCAGTAGCAAGAAGCAGAGCAGAGGTAGACTCTGAGCCAGAATAACCCAGCCCAACTATTACGTGTGTCATCCATCAAGAACTGTCCATTTTCTGCCAGGGTTAAGGGCTTAGAAATTATGCTATGAGAGGAAGTAACTATAGTAACCATAACAAGAGATCAGAAATATAGGATATCTGGGTCTAGACAACAAATCAAGAGGGAAAGCACTGGGAAACCAAGTGAGGCTTCTAAGTAAAGGTTTAAAACACTAAGATCAGAACCAGGAGAGCCAAAGACATATTGTGGTTTCTAACATTCTTGACTAAAAGACACTGGCATCCATGGAGGAATAGCTAATTCTTTTTTTTTTTACATTTTTATTGATTCATAATCATTTTACAGTGTTGTGTCAAATTCCAGTGTTCAGTACAATTTTTCAGTCATACATGGACATATACACACTCATTGTCACATTTTTTTCTCTGTGATTTATCATAACATTTTAGGAATAGCTAATTCTAAGTCTTGTGTCAGGGAGAGTGGAAAAGCCATATTCCCAGACATCTTATTATGCTAAAAAACAAGGAATCTGTCAAAGCCTAACCAGGCTTTCTCAAGAAGACACAAGCGCCAACCTGAAAGGGCTCCCAAATAGCCTGAAAGGAAAATTCAAGCATCAAAAAACTAGTGACCAAACTGATTCTGAAGAAATACTCATTGATCACCACTGGAGGATGCTAGGGTACCAACTAGTTCATTTCTTTCAAAATTAATACACGAAATAAAAAGTAAAATATTTATGCTGTATTTTCTCTGAGAACTGGATTTCCTTCAATTCAATTGGTTCATCTTTGCCAAAGAACTTGAGCTATAACGTATAAGGAAATACAAAATTAGAAAAATCACCATTTACCAGCCCAAAATGGGAAAAGTAGATCTCGGCAAAGATTATTAATAGATTTTAAAGCCATTAGGTGAAATAGTTGAAGAGAAATATGATAGAGGTATCGGCTTGGTACCACCTGAATCTATAAACAGTCTTAGCATCATAAAAAGTAGGAAAACCACACTTCATGTAATACATGATCTTACGCAGTGAGATGCACACGGCATCACCTCTAAATTGTTCTTGCCTCTCGTTTGCAGGACATACAGAGAATAAAGGAACAAGTCAAAAACTATCATGAAGAAGCAGCCAATCCAATCCTGAATATAGGACATTCTATATGGCAAATGACCTAGTTTCTTCAACAAATCAGTGACATCTGAGAAAGGAGTGGGGTGGGGGCAAACTGTTTTAGGCTAAAGAGATGTAGATACACAACAATCCAAGCAATATGTAGACTTTATTTGGATCCTTATTAAAACTAAATGATTATAATTTCGAAACATGGGCAATGTGAACATGGAGTAAATATTAAATGATATTAAGGAATTACTATTAATTTTATTGTGAAAACCAGAAGGTAGCTATGTTACTAAAAATGTCCTTATCAGGCAGAGAAGTATGCTGAGCCATTTGCAGGTGAAATGACTTAATGCATACTGATGAGGTGTGACTAGGAAAATGCTGATATTTGTTGAACCTGGGTGATTCAAGTATTGGTTATTTTTATACTCTTTAATTTTGTTTTGGTTTAAATTTTTCCTAAGAAGGCAGAGTTCAGAGAACTAAAGGAAGGGCATCCAGGCCGACTCAGACTCAGGCTGGAACAGGGTCAGAAAGGGAGGCACGTTCCCGCGGAGCAGAGCCCTTGAGTCCTGGAGCACTGAATATCCACCTCCATTGTGCCCCCTGAGCATAGTTCACACGCCCATTCCCTATCTATCTATTCCATGTGTATATATAAACCATTTATACCATTCTACTCCCCCCTTTATAGATCTAGATAGATAGATAGATAGACAGACAGACAGACAGACAGATAGGGCAATGGGGATAGATAGATAGATAGATATAGCCTGATATATATATATATATATATCAGTAAGTACTGAACCAGGAGTACTGCCATGGGGGTAACACTGAAGAAGCAAGCAGTGTTATTACAAACAATACCTCTCCATATGGGAACTGTCTTCCTGGACTGATGCAGGCAGCAGTGACACTGGTACAAGCCTCACCAGTGACATCCATTGATGGTGGAAACTGACATGCTGAACTGTGAACTTCATGGCCATCTGGATTCTGGAATGTCTACAGGAATAATACAACGAGACAAATTGAAAGAAAAGGAAGCCACCATGTTGAATTTTGAAGTTAAATTATTCTGAAAATTCTAAACCAGCTTCTGACATGTCATGAGACTGTTAGTAGAAGATCAGTATTTAAAACAAGACTTTCATACTGAATAAGTTAAATGTTTTATTTTATTTAGTGAATAAATACATTTTTCAAATAATAGTTTCTCCCAAAATAATTAACTGTGGTCAGGTCATTATCTTGAATTATTTTTAAATAATTTAATAATGTTTTGGGGTCAAGACTATACAGCATCAGTTATCATCATAATATGATACTTCTTATTAAATATCCCCATGTTTCAAGCATATATTGGTGCATCCTGTGAAGATACGCCACCACAGAGCTTCTATGAGATACCAAAATAAATGTTTACAGATCATCAGAACTAAAAGGGAAGTGACCACTTATCAAAAGCATCCTCTGCCAGTTTATTTTAGAAACAAGAATACCAAGAACAACAGTGGTGCAGATACATGCCCTGAATAACACAAGGTAGAAAGTGCTAGCAATTCAACTTTCTCCTTCTGAGCCTGAGTCCCCACAATTAAAACCACCACTTTGAAGCCTCCATGCAAAGACATGCCCTGTGTTAACAGTAACTCAATGCTCCATTTAGCAGAATGCAAGAGTCTGAGTCCAAGACAGAGCTAAGGAAGACCAAGTATTCTGTAGTCTTGTCAACGTGTATTTCTTGGTCTCCATCTCACCTCAAGGAGCTCTGCCTACAATACATAAGATTATGTAAATACAAAAACAATAAAGCATTGTTATGAGTAAAGTGATAACAAGGGAGGTGAAGAAATCTGAGTTTAGCCAAATTGAGGGTTGTGGCTAAAATCTGAGCAGAAAAGTGCTTAAGAGAATGGAAATGACATCTTTCATAATGCTTTATTTCTCAAGCTGGGTGTTTAATGCATGATATGATAATTTACTTGCTCTTTATACTTGAATGTCTGAAATAGTTCATAAATAATTTTTAAAATAATATAAAAGGGAGGGGTCAATGAAGGAAGTCTTCAGGGGATAGGCTTCTTCAAAACAGGTTAAAAAAAGGAGAAACCTGAGACACACTGTTAAAGTCGGGAAGTTTATAAGAAATTCAGGGGGAAAGTTTCTTTACATCTACTGCCTTGCTGATCACATAATAATCAGTTATATTAAAACTAGTTTTGTGTGTAAACACTAACCCAATGGATGATCATCACTAAGAATAAAGGCAAATATGACTGTAATTAAATAAAGAAAACATGGTATACAAATTATGGACAATTAGTCAATGTCAGTGTTCATATAGTATAATACAACTTGAAATAAATGAAGATAGCAGTTACATATTGTCACCGAATAAGGGCAGGGCTGATATATCATAGCATTTCCAACAAACTTCCATCTGTTAGTCATTCAAAAACTTTGAGGAAATCAGGATTCCCTTGTGTGCACGTCATTGCTTAGTCTTCAATTATTTCTTAGTTTGCCAGGGCTGATTCGCTTAGACTATGTGAATAAGCTTTATAAGCAGAATAAAACTGACTCATCAGGCCAGTTATCCAGGCTTCTTGCCTTGTTGGAAACCCAGCCCTTTCAAAGGAAGATGATGGTTGGTGTCTACTCCAAGATGGAGCATCTGTGACCCTGGGGTCAGACCTAGCTATCGGTTGTGGCTTTAATCATAAATGCTTAAAACATGAAAGTAATCTGTGTGTGTTATGTCGCCTTGGATCTAAATTTTTAAATTTCAGCTCTCGCAGCACTGGATATAACATAAATTAGCTCATCGGTGTTCACTAGTAATGGGCCACAAAATAAAACGAAGGTGCGATTAAGCCATGCCTAGTGAGTAAAGTTTTATGTTCTCTGTTTATATCTTTAAAAAGGTTAATATAAGATGTCATATTTCCCCTAAGAGGAAAAACAAAACCACCTAAACTGTCTTTATGTACTTTTTTTTGCCTATACTCTTCAGCTGATATTTGTTTCCATTGGCTAAGCATTCCCTCAAAGGAAAAACTATCTTCCCATAACTGTATTCAAGCATCTAGTCAAAAAGAGACAAAAATATATTCTAACTCTTATTTCACATAACATTTGAAAACATTTGTAACTTTCACATTTTCTAGAGAAAACATAACATTAGCTAATGGGTAGCTCCATAAAGGGAATTTTCTTCTAATTTTAGCTGGAGTATTTTGGCATCACAGTAAAGTAGAAAAATCACTGAAGATAGTATTTTTTGTGTGAGGTCAGGGGTCACATTTCCTACGACCAAAAGGGAAAAACTCTCTTGCTTTTGAGGCAGAAGTATCTTCCTCAAAAATTAGTCATTCAGCTAATTTTTATTAAGCAGCATGACTTTCTTCTTTGATCTGTCTCCCCAGTGCAGAAATGTCTTACTTCATGCTTTTTTCCCCTTTGTACTATTTATTTCAAACTGCACTTGTATTATTCCGTATAGTTTTATGTTTTTTTAATATCAAGGCGAATTTGATTAGATTTACTTGTTTACCAAAAACAAACAAACAAAATGCTATTATAACTATTACCTAGCAAATGGTTAACACTGTAAAAAAAAACTACACAAGTATCTTAACAAATTGCACATAAATAAAACAGAATTTTTTAGAGAGGATCCTTCTTAGATCTAGGGACTGTACCCAGCATTAGCTCCTGATTTTCAAGGATTTGGGAAATTTTTGAGTTCTGACAGGTGTAAAATTTGTGCCAGAAATAAAGTCTATTATACACTAAAATCTGGACTTCAAACTTTTAAAATCAGTTCAAGTTGAAGAGATTAAAGCCTAAATTACAAAATTATTTTGAATTATACCTATAGAACATTATTTAAATTTTTGATTAAATCATGTTGACAGAAAATTGCACCTGTTGGAGATTAATAAATATTTGAAATAGTTGTAAACTATGCATGGAGTCCATACTATATGAATAAAAATACAAGATTTGTGATTGACGATGAGTGGTTGAAAAGTTAGTAAGTTGAGTTTTCCACAATAACTAGAAGTAGTCACTCCTTTCTTTGAAGATTATAAAACTTACTAGAATTTTCAATAAAGACTGAATATACGACTCACATAAGCAAGCTATCAAAATGGAAAAATAAATACTCACAGGCTGTTCTCCAGAGGATTCAATATTCACTGTATATTTTCCATGCTCTTTCTCCATCCTTGAACATTGACTACCACACACTTAACTCCAAGAACAATTTTCAGTTTAAACATTGCCCTTTATAAATGGAATCTTGAGAAATAATTGAGTTGATTGATGTAACCACTTTATCAACTATGATGCATCAGTGCAGGTATGAACTAAATTAAGCAATCAGCCATCAGTCCCCAATATGGGATCCACCTTAGAGGAAAAAGTAAGGTAGTAATTAATACAAGAAACAGAAAACCAATCTTGCCTCTGGGAGCTATTGTGAATTCCCTCTTTGCTCCCCAAACAGAAAAAAAAATTCTCAAATTATAGCTCATGGTGCAGTCTCTTAACTTTCAGCAACATTCCTCATTTACCCTTCATTCTGACTTTGGGGCATCGCCATCATAAAATTCTGGAGCAGGTGATAATTGCCACTGCTTTCTTTCCAACGAAGCATGGCCATCTCTCTCATTGTTGGTATCTCCTCTTAAGGATGCACAGCTCTCCGCTCACTAGACCTCGGCATTTTCAGGCTCTCCTCCCGTCCTCTAAAACTTTCCAGTCCTCCTCCTTCAGCTTCCATAAAAATGTGTCTAACCTGAGTCCACTTACTCAGAGCCCCAACTCTAAGAGCTAGCAAATCTGAGATATAAGTAATTACTAATGTATTTTAAGTTTAATTTTAAATATTTTAAAAATATTTTAATAATTAAAGGAAATGATTAAACAAGGTTTTCCAACACCTTCCTATTTAACTGCTGAGGCAGTCGTTGCTTTACACAGGTAGAAAAATGTCCCTGTGACTCAGCAAAATCTAAATGGCAATAGGATGGAGTTCAGAAATAACTGCCAATTTAAAAGTTAACAATGAGTGTCCAACACATATATTTAGAGATACCTTCCCAAAAGTGGCCCAGAAAGTTCTCAGTGAAGAATGGTATCTGAGTAACGTAAGTTTTTTTTGACTCGTACAGTGGGTAATCAAAAACTAATTCAAAAATAATGTCCTGTTCTGATAGGTGTGTCAGCAGCACTAATTGACTAGCTAAAGAGCCATCCAATTTAATACACCTCAGTTTACCGATAACACATAGACCACCTATTCCCACCCTGCCAAACTGCAAACAGAAAAATCAAGGCCCCGAGAGGAGAAATGAGACAGCCAGTTTAATAATCGTGGTCAGAAACTCTGCTGTCTTTCAGGCTAGTAACCATCCATTGTCCCAGCCTAGGATGAAGAAAGGTAGATAGTCCATTAGAGAATCCATTAAATCTCCTTTTGAAATCAAAAAAAAAAAAAGACAAACAAATCAAGTCCCAGAGTTGGAAAGAGACGGGAAGATTTCTTGGGAATGCTTATTCCTGAGCCTCATGTCTGGCTAATTCTGGTTGGGGGGTGGAGGTACTCTACTTAGATGACTCTTACGTACACCAAAGTCTGAGAACCACTGTCTTAGAAAAATTTAAAGAAAAGTGATGGAATCCCCTGAAATATTTAGGAAGAAATATTTTGTGTGTATGAAAAAAAAACCCTAAATTTTCAAACTATGTGGCTAATCTCTATTCATTCAACAGATGCCAGGCATTATGCTAGAAGCTAAGCAAACAATCTTTCTACCCTCTTGAAACTATACAAAGAGAGAGAAGGGTGTGTGTGTTTGTGTAGTTTAACCCTTTCAAAAGCCTTCTTATAAATGTATTCACCATTTTTAGCGTAAGAGTTCTAGTTGGAATTAACTAAAACAAAATGTCATCGCCTCAGCTTCTGAAATAAATAGGCAATTAAAAAGTTATGGAAGAGGGGAGAAGGTGGGGCAG